ACCCCCCCCCCCCCCCCCCCACTTTCAGGACTCCAGTCCAAGAAACCCTCCTCTCCCGTAGAATTGGTAATGGGTAATATAATAATAATGTGATATAAACTTTAATAAATTCATTCTCTCAAAGGTTTTTCAGAAACTATTTACAATAATAATGATAAAAAAAATGCTCTCTGCTATAAAAGATGCTACCAAAATGTCATGATATAAAACCTTGAGTCAATTAAGGCTATGTCTTTAGGGATTTAATTTCCTAATTATCCTATGGGCCGTATGAATATTTTCTGGAATCATCCATTTTGTGTAGTGATTGTACGTTATTGTTTTGTTTTTTGTTTTGTTTTCATTGTCAGTATTATTTACTCTTGTAGGTATACAACTGGGCCCCAGAACCTAATGATGGCAAAGATTATGTAGAACTCTCCTGCAAATTTGAAGAGGGCAGCAGTGTAAGTTACGCTTCTATCAATTTTTTGAAAAGTTTGTGTACAATGAAAGAAATTCTAGTGACAGCTTTTGCAAGCATCACAACAGGCTGAATCTTGTTAGTTGTGACTTACATTGTATACATAGTCAACTGTATTCTTTTGTTGTGCTGTTGTAACTAACGTCAGATGTCTTATCTGGTAGTTACTGTATCTAATTTCTAATGGGAAGGAATTTTTAATGAGTTTGATATTTATGTTCAGGTCAGATTTTTTTTGAGAGTTTTAAACTACACCAATTGCAGGACTTGCATGCACCTTGAAAGTCCTTGAATTTGAAAATCAAAATTCTAGACCTTGAAAGTTTTATAAAGTACATTGGGTCCTTCAAAACTGAAGAAGGTGTTGGAACTGAGTGAAATTAAATTCACCACACATAAGAAGAACTTGTAGACTTTGACTTGAACAAGACTGGTGGGTACCTGAGTATCTGATGTCCCATACTGATATTTTTCCCTTTCTTGTATTTTTTTAGGATGCGCTATCAATTCTGCCAACAGACAAGCCCGGCTTTCCCGTAAATTTCTACCCATTTTTTTCGGAAGAAGCTTGGCTTGGACCAATTGCTGCCATCAAGGTCAACACCACATCTCCAGTCGTAGTTCTCTGTGAGGCCTTGGCCAAGAATATAGAGCTGTCAGAGACATACCGTCTTAATCGAGGTGCAACTGGAAGAGCAAGGATTGAAATTAAGCAGTAAAGAAACTTCGAATTGTGAAATGCAGAAACTGATTGCCTTAACTTTGTGCTTATTTAGTGATCCTATTTTCTTTGGTTTGTTTCACTTTTCTTTTTTAACTCTGCTTTATCCATATCTCATGTATCATCATCTCCATATGAGATGATGGACGAACACATTTTTTTTTCTGCTTACTTTGTGTAAGGTTTGGTCATATTTTTAAAGAAAACTTCTGGTAAGATTTGTTAATTAGGGCTGATTTAAAGGAGTCTATGTTTCAAAGGTTTCTCGATTTTGAAGGCCATCTTTTAGTAGTCTTTGATTGGTTTCTGTGGATCACATTTGAACAGTTAACTGCACTGTCAATTAGATATCAATAAGTAGTGATTTCACTAGTTGTGTGAAGTATTTTCAAAAGTGAGTATTATTGTTTCTAAGAAAGGAATTTGTTGATTTTTCTGCAGTATAAGTAAGTCATCTGTTAGGTTCCTTTGTGGCTCCTGTTTGCATTATTTAATCACCTCATGATATTTGTTTTTAAAATGCCTTGAGTTCGCAGTGGGATAATCTGAAAGTGTCTGTGATTTTGAGAGTGGCAGGACGGTAGCTGTCATTTCCTTGGTGTCAGTAAATGAGTTGCTTCAGCTTGGTTTTGCCTTTGTTGAGGTTGCTCGTGTTTAAGGCCAACCATTGTAACAGCTTCTGGTTTTGTTTTTTTTAAATTAGATAAAAAAATTTTCAACAATAATAAATTTGTCAAGGTTTTTTTTAGACTTGATGTAAACATTATTCATGCACTCATGACTTAACAATTTATGGGAGTGTCTTTCTTCAATAATAGGTAATTAAAAGAAGCTCTCATTGTTTTATCAACACTGAATGAAGTCAGAGAGCAATTTGTAACTTTTCTCTTCAGTAAGGTAGTCGTGTGGTGTGTTATGGACATGAGCTCTCAGTAGGCCTTCAGTAGGATCTGCTCTGACACATGGCTACCAATTGAATCATAGAGAGATGTTTCCAAAAAAATTGGGTGTCAGCACAAATACACACACACACACTGCCATCAAGCAAAATGAGCTGTCTTAATTTTTGAATCTGTAGTGCTGGAGAGTTCAGTTTTTGTCACCATTATTGTGGTAACATTTATTTCTTGGTAGTTGTTATGTAACAAGATCCTGTAAAGGATCTTGATTGTCTTGAAACATTTAGAGCTTATTAGTATTAGATTGCATAGCTATTTTCCAAGGTCCTTTGCTGAACATGATACACTGTCTGTTTGGATTACTAAAGAATCTTGGAGTTTCCTTTTTAGTGGACGCAACCGTCCAAAATAACTATGGCATAAGTAATCAAGCACATTTTATAATCATTGATTAGTCTGTATTGATGTTACATAATTGTTATAAACTCTCCGCCTGCGGTAGTGTTGAAGGTTGATTTTATACATTGCTTCTGCTGAACATAGCTATTAAGTATTGGGAGTATTGCCAACCAGTTTCATCTGTTTAATCCTTTAAGCAGTGAATTTCACTTGGCCTCCATGTGAATTTAGGATAATTTGGCTTTTAGTAAATCTCTCATATATCAGGCATTTTGTTATCCTTTTCTGTCTACTTCCATTAATTTTGTCAAAACAGCCTATAAATAGGTGGTTGCTGCTAAGGACAAAACATTGTTGCACATAATATCTGGGACAGGTCTGCAATATATCAAATCAATTTGTTAATAAGGCACGTGCTGAATAGTTTAAATAGTAGTCAAGGAGACAAATTACTCAGTAGTGTTGATTATGGCTTGCACAGACTTACATTCTTGGTGGCCAGCACTAAATTGGATACTCTGTAGGTATGTGTAGTTAACATGCTTTTTTTCATCTTTTGATGTTTGCCAAAACTTAACATAAAGTGTAGCTGTTCATTGTTACTATTCCATAAACTTCTTAACCACAGAATAACATTTTTTTTGCCAACACCCTAAAACTGAAACACTTCTGATATGTAAAGTTGTCGTTGCTCACCTATGAGTATCCAATTTAGGCATTACTAATCTTGGCTCCTTTGACAGGTCTTGTGCCATGGTCATTTTATTGGTGTATAATTTTCTGCAATGTAATTCTCTGTGATGTTTTCATTATGGCCTTGATGGCTTGTTGTGAAGGGTTTTATTAAAGCTGTTTTAAACTTACATGAAGTTGGTGATGGATGCCTTGGTGTTTAATTTTTTTGTTCTTATTCAGGGCTCAAAAAAACTTGAATTCCAGCTTGCCTTGGGGATGAGCAGCTCTCAAATTTTGCTAGCCCTGGGCAAGTCTTAGTTCACTTTTTTTTTTTTAATTTAGTTGGCAATCGCCATGAGAATTAAGATTTCTTGAATGAAAATTTCTTGCCCGGCAGGAAAATCTAGTTGCCCCGGATGACTGCACGGCACTTTTTTTCGAGCCCTGCTTATCAGATGCAAAGTGACAAGCAGGCCCAGGTTATTTTAAGGGTGGATAATGCTAAACAACAAATTGATAATATTGCTATAAGTGGATAAGTATTGACAAAGCTATAACTGTACCATCCCATTTTCTGGACAGTGATTTATACATATCTTGCCAAAAGTGTAATTCAACCTGACCAGGCCTTGTAGTATTTATTTGCTCATGTGTTGGGAATTTTTCTGCAAGGTCCACAGGCTGCCGTGCTTGCTACCATTAATTTTCAGGTTACCTGAGTAGTCTGGCTGTTTTTGTACTTAAACATTTAGTGTCTGCCTACCCACCCACCCTTCCCCTTTGTCTGTCTCTTTGTCCTCTGGCTTCTTTTTTCTTGTGGTTAGTTCATTTCTCTTTCTCTTCTCTCTCCTCTGTTCCTTGATCATTAAGAGGTTTATGCTGTTGCTCAGTATCCATAGCAACTGTACAAGTAATTCCCCGCGGTCACATTCAGTGAGATTTCACCTCATCTCTTAGAGAAGGCAATCTTCACGGCCACCCAATTTTTCAGTTTCTGAGTGAAATCCTGGTTCACTCTACCCTGGGTACGAGAGGTTATTTCCCGCTCATGCAACGGGACAACTGATACCGGAAACTGCGCATTAAGTCTTCACAGTACTTCTCAGTACAAAATTCCTGTTGTACCTTAATAGAAGTCCCGGGTTCGAGTTCGCTCTGACCACTACCTGGATTTGTTTCACGGTAGCCCCAAGAATCCTCGGCCACGCTTGTAGGGTCCTTGTAAATAGCCAACTGGTTTGCCCCCGGCCATTTGGAATTCTTAACAAGCTATTTTCAGTAAAAATTATTTGCTTCAATTGTTTGCTTGGCCCAGCTAGCCTTCAGGTGCTATTAACACTGCCGAGGGTAAATAAAGGTTATTTAAATTTTTATTTCATTTCTCTCTTTTTTTTATTTATTTATTTTGGCCTCCCGAAGACCGAATCGGATCATTGGAGGCAAGAATTAGCGCAGAAGTAGTCAGCAAGGCCATTTTCGTCCTTAGAGTTCGCAATGCTTATGGTCACTCCCAGAACGATTTTAGTGAGTTCTCGATTCGCATGCAATCGCTCAAATCTGATTGGCCGAGAATTGGATGAGGTTCGGATTAATCCTAACCCCATTGGAAATGAATACTTACGTGGTTGAAAAATATATAACGCTTAGGGGTTCCACTGACGAATTTTGACAGTTTATACGTATAAAGGCACCTCTTTAGATACGTTTCGTATATAGAGTATATAAGCCGCATTTAAACAGGAAAATGGAATTAGATGGAACAATCTTTTCTCTTTTTTTGTACGACGTGGTTAAAGGCAGGCAATATCACTCATTAATAGAATATTTTAGAATGGAATCCAGCTGCTGGTTGATAAATAAACTGCGGTACGTTTTACGGCGGGGAATATTAAAACTTCCAGCTGGCATTCCCTTATCCTCTTTACTGCCCGGAGTACACCCCATAGCACTTCCCAGGGCCAGGCACATAGCATGAGGGCAATATGCATGTGGCAGGGTCATACATGCACATTGCAGCTGCAACGTAAGTTAGTTACAAAATTGCGCTCTGTCCCCGAGCCTTCATTTCCTTTGCTCACAAGGTCAGTGAAACGGAGAGTAAAGGCATTTTACAACGAGTAGCGCTGAGGACAAGAATGGCGCCGAACACCCATTGTTTTATTGTACAACTTATACATGCTACAAGTTTTAATTGTATATACATTTTTATTATTATTTCTTATTTGTAAATAGTTTTAATTTTTTTTTGTTATGTCCCCAATTAGTTGTGAAAACTAAATACATTGACACATTAATAAAGCTTTTACTTACTTACTTACTTTACGTGACGGAGAAGTGCGGGTAAAAGGGCAATTTCGTTCCAGGCCCTCCGCAGGATCTGCTCCTATTTGACGGAGACGAATGCTCTGGGAACGAATTAGGAAGCGAGAACGTGTGTAGCAGCCATACGTGTATCAACGCTTATAACAACGCTTCAGAGCGGAAAAACGCACTGCGCAGCTTTCAGCTGCAGTTTTCTACGCTTTCTTTATCTATTTAGCCAATGCAGGGTACAAAGGCGGAGAGAATGATGGACCGTAATAACTGACGGTTACTGACCACGAGGATGTCGCTCTTTTGATTTGTTTATACTTGGCCAAACTGTTAAGAAAACAAGGCTCTCCCTGCCTGAAGTGATATGCTTTTTAGGATGCAATATGTAAACAGGATTTGTGGAAACAAATGTATCTTCGCATTAAAATTTCCTACATGGCCCGGGGGAAATAAAGTTAATTTTATCTAAAAATATCATATCCCAAGAAAACATTACACCAGCTTTCCGTGACTGACGAGAAAATGTTCCTCCTTACCGAGAAAATTGGGAAAGCATATCAAGATCGACGAAATTCCCGCCATTTTTTCAAACCTGGAGCCCGGCGGCGACCAAAATTCGCGCATGCTTTTAACGTTTTATCATGATCAACGCCAGATGAAAAAGCGCTTTATATGAATTTTAAATTATAATAAAGAGAGAGGAAGCCACGTCAGCCTTACTTGGTTTTCATGCGGTTCCTCCCTATTCTGATCAAATTTATCCTCCTTCTTCCTCATTTTCCTCTTCTTCCTGATTTTTGAGCTTCTTGAGTTGTAATTTTATGGCGAATTGGTTGTAAAGAGGTGGTAAATAGCAAAACCAGCCGTTGTGGTAAGTTGGCTTTTATTCACATTAATTTTTGTGTGCAGTTTTTAAGAAAAGTCGCGCTTAAAAATAATTTTATTCGAGTTTATTGCCTGGGAAGAGAGAATCGTTTAAACATCTTATATATCCATCACCCCGTCAGCACCCCATTATCAACAATCTACTCGTTAACTCACCTCAGTTCTCCTCGTTCCTATGTGATCATTTGGAAATTTCGTGATCGAGCCACGAATGTGTCACTAATTTATTAACCGCGCGGCTTAGGGCGAGCGGGGTTCTTGAAATGAGAAGTGCCTTTTTGTAGCCTATTTCGGCGGAAGTGGAAAGAAAATTCAAAAGCTGATTTTTGAGCTTCTTGAGTTGTAATTTTATGGCGAATTAGTTGTAAAGAGGTGGTAAATAACAAAACCAGCCGTTGTGGTAAGTTGCCTTTAATTCACATTAATTTTTGTGTGCAGTTTTTAATTTTTATGGTTGCTGGCCTAAGCCAGCGCCATTATGTCATCGGGTTTCTAAGAGACAAGGAACGGCCTATTCGGAAGCTTTTGCAGCAATCTCAGTTAGATCGAAATACCTCGAGATTTACTCCAGTTCTTGTAATCGATTTTCAAACCGAGTTAAAGCAACTGCATTTTACAATTTATAATTGGTTCCGTTTCATTGAATATCGCATTTCGAGCAAAGCAAATAAAGTTCGACTTTACCAGCAGAAATATGGCGCTAAAAATGTCTGCAGTGACACATAATTCAACCCAATTTGGTTGCTTTCGACCGAAGGAGAACGCAAACCTAATTTTGTATTGGTGTCCTGTGTACATACTGGGTGCCCCCAAGTTTTTTTTTTTATAAAATAGAGGAAAGACTACGGAATCTCGCTCTCTTTTTTTCGCTCGTCCCCAACTACCGCGAGTCTGGAACAGGCTATGTTTTTTCTAAATAAATTTAATTGAGTCACTAACTTAGGATATATATATCAGATTGGTTAGCATGGGGTGTATGTTGTGTTGTGTGAAATTTAAAGAAAAATCTCCCACTTTGAGGGACATTAATTTATGTTTATAGAACATGTGCCCTCTGCCACCCTCTGAATAAACGCGGGTTGTCAAGCAGCTGTTCCGTTCAAGTATTTAGCAAAGCTGTTTAAAGCGAACTCTTTAAGACGGAAATTTTAGATAGTCGGAGAAAAACCTCGTTGTCAATCAAAAAACAACAGTTCATATAGTGTTTAAACTGATAAATTAATGCGGGGGGGGGTGCTTATTACACTAAGGGACGGTTACTGCACCTGGCAATGATTCTCGTGGTCCAGCTTTGTCATCGCATACAACCACTATCAATGACGTAATGTCCTTGCTCTCTTGGCATGATTTATGTAAATTTTTAACGGGCCCACGCCTTAACGTAGCTTTACTTCCACAGTTGGGCCTTCCGTCTACACTAATCCGTTACGAAAACGGAACTTTTAAAAAAGCGCTCTTCAAACCGGAGGAATTTGAAACGCCAGTTTTGCGTTTTAGTGTGGACGGGAACCATTTTAAACACGGAGCTTTTCGAAAATGACGACGTCCCCGATAACCATTTGACTTCCCTTCCTGAATTTTCCTCAAGCACTAAGCCAAAGTGACTGGCGAAGTGTGGACGGAAAACATTTGATGCGTTTTCAGAGTGAAATTCCGTCGTTTCAAATTTGCCCCGGCGTAGTCGCGCAACATTGTTTCGTTGCAAGTTTTGGGTTGATGTTTCGCGTTTTTCACTTTGCGTAATCAACTTGTCGCGCAGCAAAAACATTTGTTACGGATTGAAGAAAGTTGTTGCGAAAAGTAGAGCGCGGGTTTCCTTTGAGCAACAAATTTTCGCTTTGTTGCTCGTTTTTCATCAGCCCAAAACTTGCAACGAAACAATGTTGCGCGACAAGTTGATGGTTTTTGTATCTCGTATTTTGCCGTCTTAAGACACGCGTGGGCACGAGTATTTTGTTTGATTTTACGTACTTATCGACTGAGTGGGAGGGC